CACACAACTTTCTCTTTCTTACCAGAGGTTATCTTGTCCATCCTTTGGGACTTACCTGAGCCCCGGGACTGATCACGGCTGGGATTGTCAGCCACTGGCTTCCCACCATTTTGACCATTCCGCCTAGTAGGTGTTAAACCATTACCTCTCCTGAACTCTAGGACGCTGGTTCGATCCCTGCCACTCCATGTGGTTGGACGAGAGTGTGCAGCTTCATATCGCTCGGCCATTACACTAATATCTTCTAAGGTCGCGAAATCACGCTCCGCTAAAAATACTATTAGGTCTTTACGGTATGTGCTGAGGACATGTTCCTTTAGAATTTCTTCCCGTATGCCTTTGTATGAAAGTTCGGCTCCGGACATTTTAATCCACTTATCGAAAAGTACGCGTACACGATTATGAAATTGCGCGTGAGACTCTCTGGCTTTCTTAGATGACTCTCTGAAAAGTTTACGGAAACTTTCAGCTGTCAGCTCGTAGTGCCGTAGTAATGCTTTCTTGAGAGCTTCATAATCATCTATTTCAGTGGGTGCCAAATTATGATAAACCTCCTTGGCAGCGCCTTGCAAAAATGCCGAAATATTAATAGCCCACTGTTCTTTGGGTATTTGATGTATTAAAGCTAACTTTTCAAACTGGGTTAAAAAGTTATCAATAATTTCCTCCTTGTCGTTGAACATAGGCATAGTTATCTGGACGGTACGTCTATCCCCAGTTCTTCTGCTCGAGGGTCCTAACTGCACGTTCAGTTCTTCGCCCCTCCTAGACTCCACTTCGATCCTTAGACTGTCCATGGCTAACTTATGTTCTCTCTCTTTATTCCTTTCCTCGGCTTGCAGTTTAGCTAACTCAAGTTCTTTTTCTCTTTCCTTCTCTCTTTCGGCTGCTTGCTGTTCTTTGTATTCTTTAAGACTACGTCCTACAAATTCCGTTAACTGTGTCCCTTCATAACCTAATTCTTCGGATCCAAGAACTTTGAATTCTCGCGCAAGTTGCCGTAATGTTGCCATTCTTGTCTGTCTTGTCGCTAACTCATCTAGATTAGTATCACTAACCTGTTTTCTGCCTTCAAGAAAACAACTTCCCTATGAATATCAACGAATATTCTAACTAAGTCAAGTCTTACCTACAGACTTACTTAAAAATTACACAAGTAATTTAAACGGCTTTAAGGCAGTACCAAACTATAAATTATCCCTAAATTCGTATCGTCTGCAACACATGTGCAAATTACCCTGGGGATACTTCCTTAACGATCTCTTCTCGCAAGAGTACTAAGGCAAAATATTTATGGGTTACTTAGATACGGACAACCAACCACGCGTCAGCAATTTCAGGTACGGAATCTTAATTTCTTACAATGTCATGCAACATTTAAGAAATTCACAAATCATGCATAATTTCAAACATATAAGAATAGGTGTTGACTCAATTCACACTCGTGGCTTCTTATTTTTAAAAATATACAAATCTATCAATGATACTGTGCTGTATTTCTTTCAATATATGTTCAGATCTGCTTTTTCCACTGTTCAAATATCCCGGAACGAGGCTCCCACTTATGTGGCAAATTGGCGGCGTGCAAAACACACCAACCTTTTTCACTACGGTTCGTTGCTAGGGAATGACCTCCGCGGTGTAGTTTACCCAGTGTGGATAGATAGAAAGAAGAATGCAGATCACTGAACGAGTATATTGAAGAAATAACAAAACGAGCCCCCTTTCAATGAACAAATATAAAATTTAATCAGTTTCACAACAGAATTTAAAATGAAAAGAAATCAATGACTTAGTTACAAAAGAAGGAAAAATGGTACTAACATGTACTCAAATAAAAAAAGACAATACAAATTTCTTTAAATGTAAAATTACTTTCAACGTTAAATTGCTATCCACATTGCCAATGAGATGTGACCTTTGAGTGTAACGATGAGAGACTTCATCACCTAATTTATGCAGACATCAAGACTTCCGTTCGTCCCTGCTCTGTCGATCTTTGTCTAGCTTTTTCGTCTTGGACTCTTGTCCGTCGAACTCTGACTTAACAATCGTCTCTGGACTTAGATTTCTGCGTAGAATTTGTTCTCGTCCTGTGATTGTTCAGGGATTTCTCATGTGAATCCATGAAAGCTGTTTCCTTCAATAAATAAAAATGTCTCGCAATAGACAATAGGTCACATTCCCAAGTATATCTATATTTTATATTAATTCGGCTCAGAAAACAAAAGGCATAAATTCTGCCGCATGAACGTTACCTAACTCTCCGTTTACATAGTCAGTCAATGCTTGTCCTGACCTTAATTTGGGTCACGCTAGGGATGGTCAATTAAATTCAACTCAGCCGTATGAACCCGTATGTAAACCCCCCCCCCTTGACTTCTTACTCTATTAAGTTACATATGGCTTAGACCTCCAGATCTAACTATTCTACAATAGTTTACTCGACCAATTAGATATTACAAACTAGCATATAGATATACACTTAAGTGATCAATTAAATATTACAAACTAGTATATGAATATACATCTAATGTTAGGTCATACTCATTTTAGAAAGAGTTAATCCATAAAACTATGAAATATTACCCATCATTCCTTAAGCTTAATTCATTTAAATTCCTAATCACTCCTATGTATTCAAGATTCAATTACATGCAATCTTTTCAACTAATCTAATGAAATTTTAATTACATTCAATTTTGCCAATTCTCCAAATGAATTGATTATTAGAAAATCAAAGAATAAAATGCCATAACTAGCATTTCACTAAAATCCTGCAAAATGAAATCATACATACATACATCATATCAAGAAGACATTTGAAATAGATCAACAAATGAAATAACATATTAAAATCGGGAAACTAAGATTGCGTACCTTTTGCCGTTTTAATATTCGTTTCCACGAATCTCACGTATAGTCTGTCTCCTAACTGAGACAACTATCTGGCCCCTTACTCAATAATGAAGACGTACTTTTTACGAATTCAAAATGTAGAGTTTGCCTACTTGCTGAAACAAAACTCTCGCTTCACTGCCAAATCACGAGATAACGTCTCACACGATCCCGGAACCATTTAACTTCCCTTGCGAAAGATTAAAGATTGCTGAATTTTCCTAAAGTAAAACCTTTAATTTCTTACAGAGTTACGCCCATAAATTCATATTTACCAATCGGAATAGACTGTTTCCTAAACCTGTTCGTAGAATGTTTGGATTGACAAGAAAACTAAACAACTAATCATGCCGTAATTAATCATTTACTTTGAACAATTATCTATAGCCAGCTGCTGCCTTTAACCCGGCCGATTTTGGGCAAAAAGGTCTTATGTCATTCTCTTGTACCATAGCATCTGACTCGGTCATGTTACGTCGGCTAGAACGAATTCCCTTTTGACGTTCAGAGATGAAATAAAAATAATCATCTATCTCTAGCCCTTTCTACTTTAATTAAGTTGACTTTGATACAATTCCTTTAACCAAAGCTTCTAAGAGTTTTCAAACTTCGACACATCACAGTAAGAACAAAGTACTTGACTCGAGCAAAGACTATCTGAATAGTTAACCCATAATCGCAGGGAAAATATTTATCTACATATTAGTTATTTACAGAATACAGGTATAAAATGAACTTGATCTTGGAAAAGGTAGTCAAAAATACAACTATCCTAGAATATAATGAAAAAAATTAAAATTACAAAATAACAATGCAAATTAAATATACATAACATCCCAAATAATTCTTAATGTCCTATCATAAGCCAAAAATATAGATGATCCGAATGAATGCTAATAATCTTGAATATATTGATGCATCACATTGATATAATCCAGAAAGTCTTTGAATGAATCTTTAATAATCATGAAGAAGTTTTTTTACCTCAAAATGTCAATGATCACTTTTTAATCTTAATAAATAATTTAAATAATTCCTTTCAAATTACATCTGAACATAATTTTGAAAACTAATTATAGATTCCCAAAGATTGATATTCAACTGGAATGAAAGTTTTGTTTATCAAACCTATTTATATGCACACCTCACTTGACCTGCGATTCAAAAAGAAAAATAAAATCTACATCAAATTAAATTTGAAATTTGAGATTTTCCCAAAACTAACATAAAATGCACTGATTCTTAAGAACGGTTATTCCCTATAGTTTAATTTTAGTAAACATGTTGTTTACCACTTATGAGCATAACAAAAGTCAGATAACAAAACATGACAATAATCAGGTAGGCAAAAACTCTACCATTATCAGGGACAAAGGTCAAACGCACAAAATAAATTAAATGCACAAAACAGGCATCATTTTGATCAAGAGAAAGTTTCCTATAATGTTGAGACGACAACTGATTGGTCGAAATCTAGTTGGGGTTAAGATTTAGAAATGGTCCAGTTATTTTGGCAAATCGGTCATGTTCCTTTTAGTGGCTTTCTGCAGAGGAAGGTCTCACCAAAGTGGATAATCTAGTACAAAAGTTTATGAAAACTGAGACGTCCGAAGTTCTTTTTTCAAATGCATCTTATTGATATGATATTTATGAAAAGTAATAAATGAACACTTACACAAATATCTCTCTGCGTCTTTACTTTGATATGACAGTGCATTGCAGAGGCTGCAAAGTCGTGAAAATAGAGGTGATCTGGGGCAAGCGTAATAATGTCTGACCAGACGAAAGTCATATCATTTAACATTTTAACACGAACACAACTTTTCGCCATATAAATATAGCAGTTCTGACAAAGACAATAGAATTTCCAACCACCGCCGTGTAATTCAACAGATACATCAAAAAACTCAATATACGAAATGAAACTTTCAGCACAATCGATATGATTCATCATGTTAAAATTAAACTCTTGACATATGACGTTAATATTTCAACAACCCCAATGTAATTTTAGAAGATACAATCTAAAACCTCGACATTGGACATCGAATTTTCAACCAACGCTGTTTAATTCAACAGATGAAATCTAAATATTAAACAACCGCACCGGTGGTCTAGTGGTTAGAATGTCCGCCTCTGATGCGGAAGGTCGTGGGTTCGATCCACGGTCGAGTAATATGGTATTTACAGCTGTTTCGCTTGGCGCTCAGCATTAAGAAGTTAGTGTTAGGACTGGTCGGTAAGTTGTTAAGATAATGTGACTGGTTGGGACATCATGCTACGTCTGCTGCATAATGCCCCAGTACTAGATATCACTATAAAACTGCCACACTGCCGACATCGTAGCGATAGGACTGAAAAATTGTTAAAGCTACGCTAAAAATCATAATCACATAATCACATAAATACTAAACATATGAAATGGAACTTTCAGGATAAACCAATACGTAAATGTTGAATTTTTCGACATATAACAATGAAATTTCGACTAAAGCTGTGTAATTCAAACAACACAATCTTGGCGCCTTATAAAGATTTTGATACATCCTCACCTTGGTCGAACCCGCGACTCTAACCCACACGGGCAGAGGTGAGATGACACTGAACGATCGTTGCAAGCGCTTTAAACAACTCGACCACCCAAACAAAGAATGAATATGTTAATGGGATTATTTCTGCAATCGAGTTTTAATGATTGGACAATTATCTTATGTTTATATATAGATATTCAATATTTTAGCTGTTATTATTTTATCAAGTTATAATAATAATAATAATAATAATAATAATAATAATAATAATAATAATAATAATAATAATAATAATAGTCAATAGTTTAGCTGTTATTATTTTATCAGGTTATAATAATAATAATAATAATAATAATAATAATAATAATAATAATAATAATAATAATAATAATAATAATCAATATTTTAGCTGTTATTATTTTATCAGGTTATAATAATAATAATAATAATAATAATAATAATAATAATAATAATAATAATAATAATAATAATAATAATAATAATCAATATTTTAGCTGTTATTATTTTATCAGGTTATAATAATAATAATAATAATAATAATAATAATAATAATAATAATAATAATAATAATAATAATAATAATCAATATTTTAGCTGTTATTATTTTATCAGGTTATAATAATAATAATAATAATAATAATAATAATAATAATAATAATAATAATAATAATAATAATAATAATAATAATAATAATGCTGATGCTGATGATGCACATATTGGTGCATTTTATTGAGTAGTTTTGAGTAACTCTCTCTCTCTCTCTCTCTCTCTCTCTCTCTCTCTCTCTCTCTCTCTCTCTCTCTCTCTCTCTCTCTCTCTCTCTCTCTCTCTCAAACTACGAGAGATCCAGTCCAATTTAGAATCAGTCTTTAATTAGATCTTTTACGGTTACAGCTGAAATACATTGTCACCTCCAACAAAAACAGTCAAGACCTGATTTAATTTGATTGAACTCGGAGCAATTGACCCAAGCAGTGCCTTTAGAATGGGTCTCAGCTCTGACGCTGAGCTACTCGTCCCATTGATATCGTAGAAGACATGTTATTAAGATGAGTTCTATCATGTTCTATATTACCTCAACTAAAACAAAATCACATCTTTGCCTGCATACTGATCTCTGTCTTGATTAAATTAACATGGGAAGGAAACATTCCCGGGGAGCTGACCAGACATATCACGTTTATCTATCTGCAAGAGAGAACACCGTCAGATAACATGCCGCCGCTACAACGCGAGACGGCGGATTGCATGTCTTTCCACGAGGCACTTAATTAAGATAAGAATCTTATCTCCACATATACATTACCTTTACAACGTTTACGATCTAAATGTGAGAGTTATAAAACACAAATATACTTACTGGTGTTGCGAACCTGTTTCAAATCGCTAAGATTTAGGCAAATTAACTTTCACCTGTAAGGGGAGAACAAAAAGTCGAATCGAATTAAAGAGTTGTAAAAATTATATATGACTTTGGCGAGTCATTTAAGACTTACTAAAAACGCTTCAGCAGGTGCATTTCATGCGTTGAAGGTTGATGAAAATAGAAATCTATTTAATAGGGTTTTAAAAATTTATTTATTTATTTACTATCTGTCAGTTTAGTTCAATTTCTTGACATTTAGATCAGGATTTTTACCAAAACATAAAAAGCAGGCTGAAAAAGAATATGTACCAAACACAGAAGGCAGTAAGAAAAAGGATTTGTATCAAAACATAGGAGTAATCTGAGAAAGGATTTGTATCAAAACAAAAGAGGAAGGCAGAAAAAGAATGTGTACCAAAACAAGGAAGTGGGCTGAAAAAAGATTTCTACCAAAACACAGGCAGTAGGCTGAAAAAGGATTTCTACCAAAACACAGGAAGTAGGCTGAAAAAAGATTTCTACCAAAACACAGGAAGTAGGCTGAAAAAAGATTTCTACCAAAACACAGGAAGTAGGCTGAAAAAAAAGATTTGTACTAAAACACAGAAAATTGGTTGAAAATTGATTTGTATCAAAACAAAGGAAGTAGGCAGAAAAGGGACTTGTATCAAAATACATGAATCAGGCTAACAAGGGGTTTGCACCAAAACACAGGAAGTAGTCAGAAAAGCGTTTGTACCAAAACACACGAGGTAAGCAGAAAAAGATTTGAGCGAAACAGGCTGAAGCTGGAGACGTTACTCTCATCGACAATTCAAACGCAAGCATGCTTAACTAGTACCTAATTAATGAAAAATCTGAATGAATTTTAGCATTATCTGATTTTATAATTGTATGCAAAAAGTTATTGAATCTCGTTGTGTAGTTGTAAAATTTGCTTGTAATACGAATGTACGTTTAAACTTACCAAACGGGTGTTCAATTTTGGTTCTGCTTGGAATTCATAGTAGGAGAAAACCGCAGTCGTAGCCATTTGTTGACAGACATAATGCAGGTTTAGTGCCAGAAAGGCGGGAATAATTGTAAATTTGATTGGTCACGCTGTGAAAAGGGGCGTGGTTTAAAATGTAAACCTTAAGTTTAAATGTACTGGAAGTGCTTTCGAAAATTTAGTCTGCATTTCTCTACGAAAGGGAAAACAAAAGTAAAATAAAAAGATTCCGGGGATTTTAATGAGTAAAGTTCTCGTCATTTAAAATTCTATCCAAGAGAGAGACGTTTGTCTGAATGATTAGACAGAAACCAAAAGCTTGGAAAACGAGGTAATTGCATAAATCTCATATACTTTTTTATGCTATGATTTAATTGCTTGTAGGTACTTGAATTTTCAGAAATTTATATTCGTTGTTCATGCTATGACTTGATTGCTGGTAGAAGCATGTGTTTGCAGAAATTTTTATTTGTTGAGTCGTAGATTAATTTTCTGGATATGGTATACTTGTGTTTAGTATGTTTATCTGAGCCCGCGCAACGATATTTCCTTTTACATATGCGTTGTCGGTTTGCTAAGTTATAGTATTGATTATTGTAGGAGTTGAGTATGTTGAATTCATACTTATTCTATATAAGGAAATATGTATCCGACATAACGGTGTTGAGTTCATGTACCTGATGATACTGTATTTATATAAATGGATGAATTGATGATTGAGGTTACGGACGTAGTTAGAATTATCCAAACGAATTTATTATGTACAATGGAAACCTTATTAGTAGGGCATGGAATTTCATTCATTTATGTGTAACGAGACCGAGTGAAGGGCTAATGCCGCATGCGGTGTAAATAGTCATTCGCCGATGATTATTCTGGAAACTAGCCGTATAGTCTGTTTGAAGTCGATAGAGTTAATTTCTGACCCCGACGGGTCAGTCCAATGATGTATTCCCGAATTATGTGACGGAAGATTTAGTTTGCTTGTTTATATTTTTATAAGGTGAGATAGTCTGGAAAGACGTTACAACCAAAACAGTAAGGGAATGAAAATGACAGTTTAGAACAAAGGACAGACATCTTGAATTTTTGGAACGATAGAAAGTAGAGCGGAAGACGTACTCATGCAACGGAACAGAAAGTAGAGTCTAAATGGACCTGTGGAATGGAATCAGTCACCAGGTTATGCATGGATGCATGGCAGTTATTTGATATACTTGATATTTGATATTAACATGAAACACTGAAATGAAATAGAAAGAAACAAAATTCTGCTACTGAGCCACACATACTATAAAATTAGTATTTGCTGTGACTGATATCAAGGTCGAACAGGATGAAGTATATGGATATAATTTCTGGCATATCCTACATTTTTAATTAATCTCTGGCATATCCAACATTTTTAACTAATGTCTGGCATATCCTACATTTTTAAGTAATATCTGTCATATCCTACATTTTAAGTAATGTCTATCATATCCTACATTTATATAAGTAATGTCTGTTGTATCCTACTTTTTTAAGGTGGTTTCGTGGTTTTAAAGATTGCTAGAATCCATGGAAGGTGGAAGGTGCTGGAAGATCGTTGTCTGAAATTGATAAGCGGAAAGTGTCTACTTTTTGAAAGGTGAAATTGACCCAAAGTGATATTTCTTTATCCATAGCACTAATTTGTCAGCGGTTGTAAGTATAATAATGTGAAGCTGAGAAAGGTTGTGTTCGACTGGTGTTCGACTTGTGTTCGACTGGCCCTGTATTTGTTGACGGCTGACCAAATGCTACTCCGATTGAAATCTCTAAACCACTATTCGACAAATATGAAAACAGTGACCAGAGCCATTTGAATGCGATTTTCACATGTGATGTAAAATGGAATTACTTTTTTATCCATATCCAAAAGACGATATTGAAGTTTGGATCGGAGAAAATGAACCGAGACCACAAATCGACTTGTATGGGTGCCCGAAAGTGGTGCCATTAGTTGTTAAGCAGTATATTGAATTACGTGTCTGCGATCTGGTACGCGATGTGTTTATCTTCTCCATTTGTCCAAACATATAATATTTACCTCAAATTGATTTTGTGTCTGAATCCCATTATCAAAGATTTGCAGAGTAGCAAATGATTTTAAAGTTATCATGCGGCTGAATGTGAATAAACAGCATGATAAATATAAATGCAAAATAGCATTTCATAATTGCATAATCAGAGCGATATAGTGTGTCGAGGTGCACAGTGAGTACTTCTAGGGAATCCAATGATC